AATTACCCCCCGGAAAATTACCCCCCGGAGAATTACCCCCCAAGGATAATTACCCCCCCCCCCCGGAAAACTACCCCCGAGGACAATTACCCCCCGAGGACAACTACCCCCGAGGACAATTACCCCCCAAGGACAATTACCCCCCGGAAAACTACCGCTTGAGGAATTACCCCACGAGGACAATTACCCGCCCCCGAGGACAATCCCCCCCCCCCGGGGGACAATCAGGATTCAATAGCAAAAGACGATCTGACACGTTGAGAGATGCTGTGAAGGCTACGAGCCCATAAAATCCCGTGCATGAACCCACATTCGTTCAAATACTTGCGCGTGATCTTCCTCATTACTACACATTTTTCTTTAACTATAATGTATGCAACAACACTGTGGTTGCTGTTTTCTACGAAGGATTTCTCTTGTGCAGCGTTATTTCAACTTTTTGTTCGACACGATGCCCTCTTAAGAAATGAAAAGTTTCGCCCAATCTTAAATTCTACACAAACTATTTATTTTGCATCACTCTGGCACTCGTCAAGTGCTATGTACACACGTATGGGCACATTAATTTTGTTTCTTGATTTAGTGAACGAGCAAGAAAAACAAGGACAAGACATTTTCAAAATGGTAAAACATAATGTTGTAATCAACACACTAGCACAGATTTAAGGTATGCGGGCGCCTCACCCCCGAATGTACACGAATATAAAGTGAAATATTCGGTCATGACCTTGATACACTCTCGTTGCCTTGATTCATCATGTTTATAATTGTGATGAGTGTGGTAACAATGTAATGTCGAAATAAAAGATATATATTCGCAAAATATTGTCAGCGAGCGAGGAAGAAAGACATTTTATTATTTGTTTACATTTTATTTTCTCATGAAAATATATACTCTACCCGTTTCTGATATTTGTTTTTCACAAAATCAACGTTTGCCAACAAAAATTGTCATGTAACTAACATTCTCTTGCGACACCCCAGTTGAAAAAACGCTGCTCTGGAATTACAAAATCATTGAGATGAATGTACCCAAGTGCGGATACTTATTTTCTTTTAATATGGCACCGTACATACCATATATTTAACTTGAAGGCAATTTTTATTTCAAAATAAATTACAGTACAAGAAAACATATTTTATTTCACCATGACAACATAAATATATATATATATTACATAACATTTATAAACATGAAGAGAACCTTAATTTTGGAATAGATCATGGATGAGGGCCCATTATACATACAAAGACAAATATACGATCAGCTGATTAGAAAAATTACAGAGGATGCATAAATAATGTTATATACCTCATACATAGATTGTCATTCACTGATTGGTCAAGACTATATCACATGTCAAGGAGCATTTCGATCTATCAAGTATCATTACGTCAGAGGGGTTGATAGCTACTATCAAACCCTGGGATAGGACCCCTAACCCCTCCCGCGACTTAGTTGCGCACACAAATTTTTTGAGTTGCTAGGCTACCGCAATCGCGCGGTTACGCGCAGCGCGTAGGAAATCAATACTCTTGCCTTGGACTTGATGTTGGATTTTTCTTATTAGTAAATTCCTCTTGATCTCGTTTCCTGTTTTTAGAGCTAGATCTAGACCTACAGCTACCCTAATCATGAATCAATAAAAAGGATGAGGTATATAAAACAAATATGGACTGCTCTGTAATCGGATGATAGTGGGAACTACCACTCCCTCGGTGGTGTTCACACCGGCCCTTCTATCACCCCCTCGGCTTCGCCTCGGGGGTGATAGAAGGGCCGGTGTAAACACCACCTTGGGAGTGATAGTTCCCACCATCATCCTCATGAGCAGTCAATATTTGTATAATATCTTACATCCTAATTTCTTTGTTGGGCCATTTTTGGGGAGACTAGCTGTATTAACGCGTACTCATCTGCGCGCAATGTATTGTTAAATTTCTAAGAAATGTAAATTCCGTACTTTGATTTGATACATGCGTCTTCTGGCAATTGAATTTGATTCAATACACGTGGCATATTAAGTCAAACTTCACAAAGGTGGAATGGCTACAGAGCGAGAGGGGTGGGTGAAATCTCCTCCTAGGAGGATACATGTACGTCAAGCAAAAAGATTTGGCAGATGGGTACGAGGGCTTTGAATGTGAGCTACGAATATAAATATAATTTATACACAACCCCTGTACGAAACAAATCTATTCCGTCATAAATAACTAAGAAAATGAAAGTTCATGACATTTTCTCTAAATAGCAATTTGAAGAGGAGCTCGCATTATACGTCACAGTGTTACAAATTCCCTGGGTGTGATTGTCCTCGGGCCGCGGTAATGGTGTTTCGAGGGGGGGGGGGTAATTGTCCTCGGGGGGTAGTTGTCCTCGGGTGGTAATTGTCCTCGAGGGTAGTTGTCCTCGGAGGTAATTGTCCTCGGGGGGTAATTGTCCTCGGGGGTAGTTGTCCTCGGGGGGGTTATTCTCCGGGGGGTAATTTTCCGGGGGTAATTGTCCTTGGGGGTAATTGTCCTCGGGGGGTAATTCTCCGGGGGGTAATTTTCCGGGGGGTAATTGTCCTTGGGGGGTAATATTGTCCTCGGGGGGTAATTCTCTGGGGGGTAAATTTCCAGGGGGTAATTGTCCTTGGGGAGTAGTTTTCCGGGGGGTAATTTTCCGGGGGGTGATTGCCCAGGGGGTAATTGTCCTGATACGTACTACATTACTCCCATTGTTGAGTATCATGAAATTGTTTCACACAATAAAAATCCCATATGTTTTATACGCGCGCGGCTACGAGCCGTCACTTCGTGAAAACAAATTCAAAGCGTTCTATATAATTTGTGTTTTCACGAAATGACGGTTGTGTTAAAAGTTCAAACAGAGGAATAAAAAAGCAGCTACAGAAAGAGGAAAATGTACTCTATCTCGTAGTTCGAGTTATTTTATCTGTACATCAATTAAACATAACGTTTTGCCGTATTTAGTGTCCATTTCGAGAATTCCATCCACGAGGAAAAAAATCCCGTATGTTTTACGCGCGCGGCCATGAGCCGTCACTTCGTGAAAACAAAATTACAGCGCGTCCTTGAATTTCGTGTTTCCACGAAATGACGGTTATGTTTAAAGCTCATTTCCCCAAAAAATATAAAAAATTATGGAAATAATTAAACATAGAACTAAACATTGAGATATGTTCTATCCCAGGATATAACATTTATTTGCCCTTGATACATTAAAGAGGTTGAGATTATAGTTTGAAAGTTTGAAAGCGATTTATTCAAAACTAACTTTCTTTTAATTGCGCGCTCATCCGTCACTTCGTGAAAATAGGGACGATAATGTGTCATTTGTTAATTATAATTGTGATTAAGTTATGATAAAACATCGATAATTCTCGGTTTCGTTTTTTCTGGGACGCACTGTATAGCACCACAAGAGTTTAATTGTTCTCGATTTCCCCAAAAATGGAAATTGTCATTGTAATCATGGTTATGGCTAGAGCTGTTTCTTTATTTACTCCACAAGGATTCAAATTTCATTTCTTAAGACTTACAGCCTCTCTTTACCCGCAAATTTAAAAATTACGAGCTGACCGAATATGCATTTTTTATGTCTTATCTCGTACATTTTAGTGATAAATAACACTTTCACAACATACATAATTATGCTCAATTTTTCGCTCGCTTGCTTCGCTCGCTCGCGAAATTGTGAACCCAGAGAATTGATATTTTGGCAAGTGGATTCAGCCCCCCTCCCCCCTGATGGAAATGTTAAAGATTACTTAAACTCGGGGGATGTTGATATCGGACAAGAGACGTGACTTGAGCTTGCCCCTTTCCAAAAATGTGCCCGCTTGTATGTACCGGTACGGTGCTTTTAATATGACCTTGTCAGTATTGGTAAGTTGAGTTGAAATAACTGTCTGCCCGATTTTAAATTTTCCGTCCCCCCCCCCCCCCCTTGTAGAAAATCCTGGATCCGCGCCTGACTTTCATATTTCACCGAAACAACTTTTTAAGCAACAATCAAATAATGAAAGAAATTAGGACCTTTAAAAATGTTACTAAATGAGAAAGGTACACTGTAAATGCAAGCGAATGTAGCAAGCAAGTTTCGGGCAACTTCGATGAAAAAAATGCCCTAAATCGTTTTGAATTAGTGGCATGTGTTCAGGTGGTATAATGAGAAATCTATTGTTTCGGGGGAGGGGGAGAAGATAAAAACGTCATGTCACAACACTTATGGTAATCATGTCTCTTTTTAACATGGATGACATTTGGCAGCATAAATGTAGTTGCCTTGAGTTTGAAATCCCCTTCATTGTGTCCCCTTTCCAATGTCCTTACCTACAACTATTATCTTTTGGTCTATTTGTATTTCTTTTTGGAATGTGTTAAATATCAAATTACATATTATTTTCCAAAACAAAGTCACATTTTGCAATATAACATAAAGTGAAAAATTGAGTCAACTTGTCCACAAGAGTTGCATAAATCATTTTTCACAATTTGCCATTTATATAAGTTTTCTTTTGAGGCAATTACCTTATGAATCATCTTGAAATTACATTGTTTAACTTTATTATTACGAATTTGCTTTAATTTAAATGAAAACATATCCTTCCAAACAAAGTCATTATCCAAAACTAAAAAGGAATTCTAAAAGTAAATGAAATTTGATTCACTTGAATTTTTGCGTATTAACAAACTATAGTAATCTTTCACTTTCATCATTACAAAAACATTCACTTTGTCCCCTGTTTCTATTTCTATAAGATTCGAAATATCACGTTCGTCTTCAAAATCATTAACATAGCTAAATCTGTCTAACCAACACTGCAGAAATGGTTTCTTTAATTTGTTATATTTAAAATCAAATAAAAGCTGTTGTGCTTTCACTTTTGTATTCATTAATGTAGAGTCATTCCATATACCATGTGTAATCAAATTATGAATTTTCAATAAACCGGCATCTTGCCATTCTCGATAAAACAATTTTTTTTCCTTAAAGGTACACTGTAAAAATTTGCTGTAACTCATGCAGTAAAATACTGTGATTTACAACAGTAATATGTTGTAATAACGATTTTACGATAATTAACTGTATAAGTACGTTGCTGTACAGTATATTGCTGTAAACATCAGTGTCGTAGAGCATGGGAACAAATATCTACAGTAAGCTAGTGTAAAGGAGCGTGCAAAAAGCATTGTGGGATACAGCGCACATGCGCATTAGGCGGATCGGCTGCATATGCGCGTATGCGTTGCACGTGATTGGCTCCCGCGCTAGCCCGGCCGCCACGCCGCGCCGCCATTTTTAATTTTCTGCAAAGATTTGAGCTGAGATATATAGCTGAGCTGGCCGGCCTGATCCTGAGCAACGAATCTGAATCTGTTCTGTTCCTGGTCCTGATCCTCGAGCTGGGATATTGATGACCAATAAGTCAATTCCAAGGGGATCCGAGGTAAGTTACAGATTGCCAATTATCAGAGTCATGATTTGATTTGTATCCCGCTGAAGTGAAGAATTGTCAGACTGTGGAAAGTATAGGGATTGTGTTTGTAATTGTTCCGTCTACGGTATATGTGTACTGTACGTGCTGTGCTGTGGTGTGTGGGACAGAGTCGGTAGTGTTAGTGCAGCACATGACACTGTACTGCAGTACCAGCGTACAGTGTCACTGTCAATGCGATGCCATTGCACATGGATATGCATGCTCACGTTAAATTGGAAATGTCTAACGTCAAGACCATCAAGACTTATAACTTTAGGACACCGCACACACTACGATCGACTACAGCATCAGTCCATCATGAGCACACTGCGTGATCAGTTGAATACGCACAAGTCTAAGCTCATGTAGTGTAGTCTACAAGAGTAGGCCTACAGCACGTTACTGAAGAAATTACAGCAAAGTACTGGCAATCCTGCTGCATAGTGTAATTTTACTTAAAAGTTAAAATATGAAATAAAATTACAGTAAGTTACTGTAAAATTACTTAGTATTTTACTGTTACTTAGTAATTTACAGTAAGTTACTTTAAAATTACTGTAATTTACTGTAAAATTACTGTAATTTACTTTTTTGAAGGTCGCAGCGTTGTCATAGCAACCAAATAGGCCATTCCGTAACTGGCAGTAAGTTACTGTAAAATTACTGAGTAATTACTGTAAAATTACTGTAATTTACAGTAACTTACTGCTAGTTTACAGTAAATTACAGTAATTTTATTTCATATTAATTTTGAGTACTTGTCTACTGTAATTCACTGTAATTTTAATTTACAGTAACTGTAGGTTATATCTACAGTAAGTTACCATCAATTTTTACTCAAAGTATCTGCCTGTAAACTTTCCTACAGTAAATCACTGCATTTCTTAGAGTAAATTGCTGTTACCGTAGGTTCTTCAAATACTAACAGTAAATTACAGTAATTTTTGTCTTTAAGGATTGTAAATTTGTTTTACAGAAATCTATTGTAGATTCATTTACCGCAAATGAATGTTAATTTCACTTATGTAGTAACATTCATAGCCGTGAAATCAAATGTTTTTTTGCTGAAGGTTTCGCATACAGTCATCATCAGGAGGCTCGTGACAACTGGTTATATTTGATGAATTTATGTTTTTCTTTCGATTTTCTTTTGTATTTTTTGTCCTTTATCTTTTTTTTTATTATTCATTTATCATTTAAATAACTTTTAATCTGTCAATGCTGTACATAAAAAGTTATGTGTACGTATGCATATTAAAGGTATTGTTTTCCGCTCTTCTTTCTTGCAGTATGCCATGGATTACTGCTGAAGTCACACAGTGTGCATGCTGAAACACTAATCAGACGGATGCTCTACATGGACATCATATACCCATGTACGTTTGTAAGCTATGTAATCATTCTTCTGGATCATTGAAGCGGTTTTCTGAACACTTTTCAGTCCATAGAAATGTGGTGAATTTCGATTTCCCGTGTGGTGTTCCTGGCTGCAATCGAACATTCAGAAATTATTCATCCTTCAAAACCCATGTGCATAGGGATCATCAACCATTTTCAAGAAAAAAAGATGCCCAGTTTTTCTGCGTTTCTACCTGGAATTGTCCACTCTGTGCTGTAAAATGTGAGGAAATCCATGACATACTTTCTCATCTTAGAGTTCATATCAAACACGGAGTTGAAATACGCTGTCCTTTTGCCAATTGCAAAAAACGTTTTTCAGTGAGGTCGTCTTTTGCGTCACATATATCAAGAGTTCACAATAAGTTAGACCAGATTCAGTTAGACTCAACTTCAAGTGAAACTGGTACTGTGTTAACTGAATCCGCCCAAGAAAATAATCAGGAGTTTCCTGGAAGACTGCACTCAAGTGACGAGGAAAGTGTGACAGATGATGAAGTAGATGTATCCGCTGACTCATTCAAACACAGCTTATCCTTGTTTTATCTGAAGTTGGAGGCAAAATTACTACTGCCCAACTCTACAATTCAGGAAATAATTGACACAGTTCAGGATATTCATGCATTAAGCCAACAAAATTTGATACCAAAATTAAAAAAGAAACTTGAAGGAATAGGAATTACCGATGATGAGGTTACCAACGTTTTAACTTTATTTAAATCTGAGGATTTGTTCAGTGCTTCAAATTGTAAAGAATTTCGATCAGAGTCTACAAGAAAATCACATTTTAAAGCAGTTTTTGATTATGTTTCCCCAACTGAGATATATTTAGGAGAAGATCAGTTTGGCAAACAGCGATTTTGCCAATACATTAAAATTCAAGACACACTAAGAGCATTATTCAAGCAGAACTCATTTATCAAAGATTACAAAGAGACTCATAAAGCTCAACCTGCTTTACAAAGGACCATTCTACGTGATGTTTATGATGGCAGAGCATTCCCAAAAGATGAGCCTTTGCATAAAAACTCAGCAGTAACACTCATATTGTACCAAGATTCTTTCGAAGTAGTCTGTACATGCAATACACCTTTATTTTAATAAATTTAATAAGTCATGAAATAAATGAATTTGCCAAATATTAGGCCTATATTTAAGTAACCTATATTTTATTTCGACATATTTCAAGTTATATAATAATATATTTTTTTTAAGTAACTTATATTTTATTACGATATATGTTACGTTATATGGTAATATGTTTTTTTATCATATTTAATACGTAGCAATATTGTAGCTAAACGAATTTCATAATTTTATGTTTTCATTTTACATGTACACAAATTGATCATATTTTCTATTTTCTTTGTTCATTGTGCACATTGGTAATTCTATTTCATTAATTTCTGTATATCATGTATATTTTCTTATTGTCAAGTATGTTTTACGGTTTTTGTTATTTTGCACAGCCCCTTTGTAAACCAGCCGAGTAGCTGAATAGGGCTTTTACCGTCAATAAATCAATCAATCAATCAATTGAATGACAGCTCATGAAGTTGAAACAAGTTTCTGTGCAGAATTGGCATGTAAATGAGACAAAAATACAGAAGAATATGAAACACGTATTAAAGATTACAAGTTTAATATAACAGAGCAACTCAAATTAAATGGGGTATTAGTTCAAAAGATAAATTAAACAAAAATAAAGTGAGTAATGTCTTTTGGAGAGATTCTACCAGGTATAGAGAGTTTTCCTTGATTCTGCCAGGTATATGGAGACTTTTCATTGATTGTATTCTGATAGTAGTTGTCGTTTAATAGTGGCTTTAAAGGAAGATAAAAGTGTATAAAATATGTCTTGTTTACAATTGAAGATAATTCTTTACAATAGTTTTTTACAATTCAGAATTTTAAAGTGAACATATTGTTGTCTGTTCGACAAATAATTTTTGACCCAAGAAAGTGCAGTGCCCCTAAGCCATACGTTGTGATTTAGCATATCAATGCCTTAAAGCCGCTATGTCTGCACAATTGCATGTGTTATTCTGTCGTATAATTAAATTAATGCTAGGTCGGGTGAATGATTTTTTTTAAAGCCATATTGGTTGGGATTAAGCAAGTTATGTGTATTTCAGAATTGGTATAATCTAAACAATTTTTTCAAGAATTTTTGAGATACTGGAAGGATGACTATGGGTCTGTAGATTCTTGAGTACTTGAACTTTTGCAGTTTTTAGTGGTTTTACTTGTTTTAATGTTTTACTTGATAGTTTCTTTGCAAGCATTTTCATAATGTTACACTATTTGAGAAACTTGTTTTATGGAGCGTTGATTACCCAATAAAGACTTTAATAATGATTTTTGTGTTCAGAAAGCTTGTTTTTTCCTCAAATTAACAGGATGATGCTGCTAATGTCAAGTTAGAATACTGTACTTATTACATTAACTTAATGTAAATGAGAGAAATAGATTTAAAAAAATAACAGGATGATACTGCTAATGTCACAGTAGAATACTGTACTTAATACATTAACTTAATGTAAATGAGAGAAATAGATAACAAAATAACAGGATGATACTGCTAATGTCACAGTAGAATACTGTACTTATTACATTAACTTAATGTAAATGAGAGAAATAGATACAAAATTAACAGGATGATACTGCTAAAGTCACAGTAGAAAAGCTGTACTTATAACATTAACTTAATGTAAATGAGAGAAATAGATACAAAATTAACAGGATGATACTGCTAAAGTCACAGTAGAAAAGCTGTACTTATTACATTAACTTAATGTAAATGAGAGAAATAACATTAATTTACTGTAGAGAAAAACTTACAGTACATAACTGTAAATACATTTAAATTACTGTGAATAAAATTACATTAATTAACTGTAAGAAGAACTTACAATAAATACTGTAACCTTATACATGAAAATTTCTTTACAGTAAGCTTACAGTATTTTAATGTCTTACAGCAAAATACTGTTGAAAAACTTACAGGAAGTTACTGTAATGTCAAAGTTACAGTAATTTACTGTGCAACAAAGTTGCCAGTAATTTACTGTAATTTCTACAGTGAAATTTTTAACAGTGTAATGTTACTATTGTTCCAAATAAGTTCATTTGGAATATTTCTTACTTTAAGCATATCAATGAATTTTAGTTCTGATCAAGGGCAAAAAATATCTACATACAGTAGAATTATGTGAAGATATTTTGTGCAGCGTTTCGTCACTGCAAGGTAAAGGCGCTATATAGAATGCATTTTGGAAGAGATAAAATTGATGCAGAAGGATTTTAAATACTCATGTAATATCAGTAATATCAAAATAATTATGTGTATAAAGTCCTACTTACATTCCTGCAGAGCTTTGGTGCTTTGCTCATTGCCTACTAGCTAATTTTAAAGCTAAATTCGTGGTGAAGATGCAATTGGCTTCGTAGAATCTATTTGTAAAAAGCGAGACTAGCGAGGAAATGGACTCAAGTAATATCTTAAATAATATCAATATCTGTTCTTAAAGTCCCATTTTTAATTTTACATTCTCCTTTCCTAACTTCGATCGTTTGCTCTTTGTTGGACAATATCTTTTACCCTGTTTCCTGGTGAAATTAACCATCAACTCTCTGGAAGTATCTTGGTGTAATTCGGTTCGTATCCCAGGAGTTGCAGGACATCCAGGCACTCCTTTAAGATTTGTCTCTCTTCCATAACTGTCAAGTACTTCATCCACTTATTGGCTGTTTTGTGCGCATCCTTTGAAGTTGAAAATAAAGATGTGTCGCTGGAGTTTGAATGAGTCATGCCGTGGACAAACTTCTTGAGTTCTGGTTTGAGTGGCATCCCGATAAAGTTGTAAATTTTGTTAGCCTCTGTCAAAGGGGCTTTGGCGAAGTCCTCGTAAATAACAAGATGGTATCGTCCTTGTAACCATGGAGGCAATGGGTCGGAAGATCTCTTCGTATTCTCCCTGATCCACTGGCACAACCCTTGAACTGTAGGATTGTTATCGTTAATCTCTTCAATTGGGAGCATGTACTCTGGGATATCATCAAGAAGACCAAGCGGTTTAAGGCGGCCCAAGTTCGGGAAGAAAGGCCGTGCTTTAGCCGCATTTCGCGGATAATAGCCGTTCAGGTAGTTTATTCTGGACGAGGCAGCTCCACGGGGATCACGAACAAGGTGGATAATTTTGAGATTGATACCGTCCTCAACCACCAGCGGCTTCAGAAGGTCTAGATCGGCGTGGATGATCTTCGTGGCTAGTCTACCTTTAAATTCTTTGCAAAAGTCCCCGAGAGCGCTTGCTGAGTGCATTCTGCAAGATGTACTGTTCATACAGAGTCCTCTGTTCTTGCTATGTGAACCACCCCAATGATTTAAAATCTTAACATAGTCCGTTTTGAAATCGCACTTTGCGAAACCCCGAAGTATATCTCTGGCCATTTCTTTGCTTTCCGGAGTGTTCTGTGTTACATTCTTTAATTTCATTAATTTCGTAGTTGGCCAGAGTGATTCGAAGATGTAGAAGAGTTCTAGATTCTGGTTAAAAAGCTCTCCAAGTGCAGAAGATCCAAAACGCCATTGGGCCATGAGAATAATAAACGGAGGGGGCTCATCGACGTTTGCAGATTTCCTGACATCACTCGTGCCCGTGATTGCTTCAGAAACTGGATTTTCTTTCACGGTGGATAAGTTTTTCCAATATTGTAATCGTATCCCGAATAAAATACAAGCAGACAATGCCAGGACTGTCAAAGAGAAGCTTGTCAAAGAGAAGCGTCCAACGCGTCTTTTACGAGCTAACGCTAAGATAAGTTGACGGTGAAACATTTCCATGATCTGAAAAGCAATTTTGAAATGCTTCACAACAAAAATGCCCAATTTGGTACAATACCGAGCTTGGTCGCATCTGTTAAATGATAATGAAAAATAATCGGCTCACCGATCATTATATGTTAACTAATTTTCCCGTTCAAGAAATATTAACATACCGTAAAGTTTGTTGCATTTTGCGCGTATGTCTATCCGCGAGTGCGAGCAAAACCTTCTCCATAGACCTATGTACATTAATTACAAAAACCTTGAATTTCTACTTCTATAGTATACCCATATCGTTTACATTGATTGACGTATCGAGCCAGAGGAAAAAGAAAGTATATATTGAATAAGCATGTAAACTATTGCCCACACAATTTGTATCGTATCTTCTGTACTAAAAATCAAAAAGCCCCATATTACACTTAATGTCTATGGGAAAAGATGCCGAACCACAGTGACAAGGTGTTTTTTGTTGATTGGTTAGAAGTGTTTCTTGTGGCGGAAATTAACCAGTGGAAATGTCTAAGAGAAGAGTACGAGTACATTGTTTGACCTAGTTATTCGTCCTTCCTATTGGCTGTATATAACTCGGGCCTTTTTCGTGAATATAAGTGCTTTTTTTAGATTCACGAAGAACTCAGTACTCAGTGCCAATTTTGATTACGCATGTATACACATGCAACGAATGCTTATGCAGACGCAATGTCATTTCATTTTAATATTTTCGAAGTTTTAGCACTCAGTTGTTTATCATAATTATTTTCACGTAATTATTTATTTGTTATATTTAAAAGCTTCCCAGATAGCAAAATATCTGGGGCCCATCTGGGTTTTGTAGGGGTTGTTAAAGCCCACGTGGCCCATACAAAAACCAGACGTATACCAGATGGGCCTTCCGACCCAGAACCCACGCATATGGGCCCCATGAGGGCAGGGGCGTCGCTAGACCTTTTTCAGTGGGGGGGGGGGGGGGGTGAAGAGGGCAACGATTACCGACAAAACTAGCCACCAATTACCGACAAAATTAAATGTCCAATATCTACAAATTCAACCTTATAAACCCTAGGCCGAAGGCTAACTTGTTTTTCCTATGGACTATCTATAGTACTTCCATATGCGCAAAATGATCATTTTTCTCGACGACATAAATATACGAATTATTTCTTCAATTTAGTCAGCATCATAGCTATATATTTCAATGCAGGCGCGGAGCTAGGATCTTATTTTAGGGAGGGGCGGTAGTGAGCAAGAGAATCACTTAAAAGCGCGTTCATTAGGGGGTGTGGGTGGTGGGCCTCCCGCGCGAAGCGCGGAAGCTTAGACGTTTCCTTAAATTATTAGGAAAAGAAGACGATTAATTGTACCGTTTTCGACTGGTAATCCTTGGCTGAATGAAGTTCCCCCCCCTCCCGCGCAAAGCGCGAAAGCTTTGACGTTCCATTAAATTATTATAAAAAAGAAGACGATTTGCTGTACCATTCTCGACTGTTTATCCTTTTTGAATTCAGTTCCTCCCACCCTCCCGCGCAAAGCGCGGAAGCTTTGACGTTTCATTAAATTATGAGAAAAAGCAGACGATTCAGTGTACTGTTCTTGACTCTTAATCCTTGTCTGAATTCAGTTTCTCCCCCTCCCCCTGCAAGGAAGCTTTGACGTTGTATTAAATTTTTAGAGAAAGAAGACGATTCGTTGTACCGTTCTAAACTCGTCTAAATGAAGTTTTCCCCTTTTTTAATTCATCTGAATTACAGTTTCCCCCTCTCGCGCGAAGCGCGAAAGCTTTGACGTTTCCTCAAGTTATTAGAGAAAGAACACGATTCGTTGTACCGTTTTCGACTCTAAATAAGCCCTATTAATTTTGTCTGAATTCAGTTTCCCCCTCTCGAGCGAAGCGTTAAAGTTTTGACGTTTCCTTAAAATATTAGAGAAAGAAGACGATTCGTCGTACCGTTCTCGACTCGTCTAAATGAAGTTTTTCCCTTCCGCGCGAAGCACGGAATTTTTGGCGTTTCATCACAATATAGAGAAAGGAAGACGATTCCTCGTACCGTTTTCGAATCTTATTAAGCCCTATTCATCTGAATTCAGTTTCCCCCTTGTCGACCGACCGACAATATACATCTCACCGACTTCAAACTTCTGCATTGATATAGAACACGAGGATCGAGCAAGAATACCGACACAGCTGACCCTACCAGGCGAGGATCCAGGATTTCTTAGGGGGGCCCAAATTTGAAATTATGGGTCCCCCTAAAAAACGCAACGACTCAGCCAGCCGCTGAATTAGCGGGGGGGGGGGGGGGTGGTAAGAGGACACTGTTTTTTTTGTTTTTTTTGGGGGGGGGTCCCCAAAAAATCGCAACGACTCAGCCAGCCGCTGAATAAGCGGGGGGGGGGGGGGGGGGGGGGGGGGGGTAAGAGGACATATTTTTTAGGTCATCTACAAGGAAATTTTTTTAAATAATTTTTTTTATTAAAAAACTCAAGGGGGGGGGGTTAAACCCCAAACCCCAAACTATTACGAAAATAT